GTTTCTACCCCCCCCCCCCCCCCACCCCAACCCCCCCACCCCCACCCCACCCCAACTTTTTAAAAAAAAACAAGATTGATGATTAGCAGGTACATGTTAGTACAATGTGGTCAGTTTCACTAAAGTGCACATGTAGTTGTAAGATTTGTCTATGTGCTCAGCTGTGGACAGCTACTTTACATCTTAAACTTTTTTGGGTCCCACTCTAACTATCATCATCAAATCTAACGGTCCATATTTAATCATTACAATATAATTAATACTATACAATAAAAAAATATTTACATTTATTTATCGTACGCTTCCGTATTCTGACAACTTTTCGACTAGTTAAATAAATGGAAGAATTTTACTGCTATTGTAAATTTTTTAAGAATTTTTTTTGGGCTTAAAGGATTTTTAAAATTTATTTTTTAGGGTGACAAATATTTAATAGGTGTTTGGTCATGAAAATTATGAGTACTTTAAAAAAATAGTATCCTCATTAGTAAGATACCAAACTAGGAATCGACAATTTGATTAAGGTAGAGAGAACGTTCCAAGCAATTGCTATTGATTAACCTTATTCAAGTACATTAATCAAAGATCTTACTTATCGGATTAATTTTTTGGTGAAGAAGAGGAAGTTTGATAAGCTAAATAAAATCTCATTAAAGGCAATAATTTATTTAAAGGACTGTCCTTGCATGTGTAAGATTATATCAGAGTTTCACCATCTTACATACTAGTCATTCACAATAACTTTCTTTATATAAGAATGACGTATTTAAAATTTATTCAAACGCTAGCATGCATAAGTCAAAAAAGACAATTAAGAATGAAATATATGCAAACTAGAAAGGGAGGAGCCGACAATAAAATCCGCATTGTAAATATTGTTCACGCTTATACTAAAAGTAAACCCAACTAAAAATTTCATCAGGAAAATAATGCATGAAAAAATATAACATATTATCGTTATAAGTAATTTAGAATAAGTTCACGTTGTTCTATAAATATTTTCAAAATGAAAATTTGTATTTGAAATTTAAGTTATGTTTGACCATAAATATAAATTGAAATTACATACAAAATTACAAATTGGAGTTATCCAAAAAACACTAATTAAAAATTTATCTTTTAGTTGTATTTACTGTTTACACGAAATTTTATTGATATAATTTAATGAGAAACATATAAATTGAAGTGAGTTAAAATTATTCTCTCTTTGCCTTCTCGATTAAAAATAATAAAGTGTTTAATTTAAATATTAATTAAATTGCGTAATTCTCTATATTTTTACAAACAAGATGTAGAACTGTTATAAGAACAAAATAAGAAATTAAATAACTAACGTATGTAGATTTAATTAAGTAAAATTAAGTATATATAAAGATAATAACACGGACTTTATATTTGTAGATTTAATTAAAATAAGTTTTTGCTCTAAGCACCTTAGAAAATTTTTCATCACTAAAACATACAATGAGATGGTTGTGTAGTGTCAAATTCAAATCACACAAAAAAAAATATTTAGAAAATCTTAAAATTAATGGGATAAATAAATTTCGAACATAAAATATTTGAGTAAAATCCTGATTTTTAAAATTGCGAAGAGAAAAAATGACGAGGAAAAAGGTGAACACAATTTTTTTTTCCAATCAAATTATCGATGACATTCAGTATTTTAACTTGATTAAGTGAATCATCTTGACCTTTTCTTTTCATTTTTAAATTCGGAACACTATACATTAATATTATCTAATTTTTTTTACCCAACCCTATATGAAGAAACTAATATTTAAATTATCAATTTTATTCAAAACTATGATTATTAAATGCTCATTCTGATAAAGAATATAACATCAAAGAATATGGTACAACGAATATGACTATGTCTTAATTGAAGATTTTAATTTTAATTAATCAGACTTCAATGTACTGAATAAAAAAAATAGAAAAAGAGAGTAAAGAATATATAGAGAATACAGTAATTAGTACTACATATATATAAACCAAACAAAAAAAGAGAAAGAAGGCAGTGTATAGATGTGGATATACAAAATTTAATACTCCTAAAATGCATATATATATAATTATAATAATAAAAATAAATGGTAATTGACGCCGACCGCCAACCAAAACAAATTCATTGTTGGAGACTTTTCTTCTCTGCAGGCCACCAAAAAAGACTCCCCACACCCTCTGAGTCCATACCTTCTAGCCCTTTTTGCCTTTCTCCTCAAATTTCTCTCTGAAATTCTTCAGCTTCACTTGAGTTTCAACTTTTAAAACCTGTTGTTTTGATTCTTTTTTGTTCATAGGAAGATACCCTTTTGGCTTTCTTGGTTGTGGGATTGTTGGTTGAGCTGAACATTTGAGGTATCAATGTGTAAAGATTGAATTTTGGGTTTCTTGGATCTTTGATTATGAAGTTGTGTTTCAGACTAGTCTTTTGATTGTTATTTGTTTGTAAGAAGATACCTTTTTGGTCTTTTTGGTTGAGCTGAGCATTTGAGGTATCAATGTGTAAAGATTGAATTTTTAGTGTGTTGGATCTTTGATTATGAAGTTGTGTTTCAGACTAGCCTTTTGAGTTTTTTTGTTTGTAAGAAGATACCCTTTTAGCCTTTTTGGTTGAGTTGAACATTTGAGGTATTAATGTGTAAAGGTTGAATTTTTAGTGTGTTGGATCTTTGATTATGAAGTTGTGTTTCAGACTAGCCTTTTGAGTTTTTTTTGTTTGTAAGAAGATACCCTTTTAGCCTTTTTGGTTGAGTTGAACATTTGAGGTATTAATGTGTAAAGGTTGAATTTTTAGTGTGTTGGATCTTTGATTACGAAGTTGTGTTTCAGACTAGCCTTTTGAATTTTATTTGTTTGTATGAAGGTACCCTTTTGGCCTTTCTGGTTGAGCTGAGCATTTGAGGTATCAATGTGTAAAGATTGAATTTTTAGTGTGTTGGATCTTTGATTACGAAGTTGTGTTTCAGACTAGCCTTTTGAATTTTATTTGTTTGTATGAAGATACCCTTTTGGCCTTTCTGGTTGAGCTGAGCATTTGAGGTATCAATGTGTAAAGATTGAATTTTTAGTGTGTTGGATCTTTGATTATGAAGTTGTGTTTCAGACTAGCCTTTTGAATTTTATTTGTTTGTATGAAGATACCCTTTTGGCCTTTCTGGTTGTGGTTTTTTTTTTTGGTTGAGTTGAACATTTGAGGTATGAATGTGTAAAGATTGAATTTTGGGTTTCTTGGATCTTTAATTATGAAGTGTTTCAGACTAGCCTTTTGATTTTTATTTGTTTGTAAGAAGATACCCTTTTGGCCTTTTTTTTGGTAGTGGGATTATTGGTTGAGCTGAACATTAGAGGTATAAATTTGTAAAGATTGAATTTTGGGTTTGTTGGATCTTTGATTATGAAGTGTTTGAGTCAATGTGCAGCCTGATTCTTTGTGGGTTCTTGGAATAAGTTCTTTTGTTGGTTCTAAATTTTGATGGTGGTGACTAAAATGTTTTTGTTGTTTCCGATGTTCTGTTCTTCTTGAGCTTATTAGATGATCCCTAGGTGCATAACTATGCGTTTGTTTCTTGGGATAGAATTTCACCTACAGAAAGTTTTAGAGATCAATTCAAGTGACTTTGTGACTTCACTAGGTCTCTTATGTTTTAGATATGATGAGCAAAATTTTCTTTCAATTCTTGGATTTTTTAATTTAGATTCACCAAAATTAGACTAACTTGGATATATGGTGTTTGAATCTTCTGGTGAAAGGAATACCATATAGATGATTTGACTTGGATATAGCGTGTTGGATTCAAATTGGTTCTTATCTGATACGTTAGAGGATAGCATGCTGTCACTTCTTGTGGAGTTATATCATACTCCGTCTCAATTTGATTGTCTGGTTTTGATTTGACATAGAGTTTAAAGAAAGAAAAGGAAGACTTTTGAATTGCGTGTTCTTAAATTAAAGATATGTTGAATGTACCAAAATGTCTTTTAATCTTGTTGTCTTAAACATGCCATGTGGAAAGATGAAAATAAAGAGTTGCCAAAAAGGATAAGTGGCATTCTTTTTGAAACAGATTAAAAAAGACAAACAATTTGAAACAGAGGGAGTAGATGATTGGAGAAATGTTTCACTATGGTACGTTTGAGTTCATTGATGTAGGCTGATTATTATAGCCACCACTTCCTGCAGGAAGCCGTGAAGAGAGAAATGTCGGGAGGAGGTACACAGAACAGCTTAAGAAAAACCCTTGGATCACTCAAGGATACTACCACTGTCAGTTTAGCTAAAATTAATAGTAGCTATAAGGTAATGATATTCAGTTTTGTTACATGTTCTCATTCTACGTCCATTTTGAGTTCTCTCCTGATACCTGTTTTCTTAACGTTCTTCAGGAATTGGATATTGCTATAGTTAAGGCAACAAATCATGTTGAACATCCAGCAAAGGAGAAGTACATAAGAGGTAAGCATCAGACCGTTGTGTTACGGAGATGTAACTTGCCGTATTATAGCAATAAATTGCATTCAGAATGGGACTTGATAGAGTTGTTCGATTCTCATTTTCAGCCATTTTTTCTGCCATCTCGGCTACCAGACCTCGAGCTGATGTTGCATACTGCATTCATGCTCTTGCGAGAAGGTTGTCAAAGACACATAATTGGGCGGTATGAACAATAAATTCAATTCTGTAGCATCTTTTTCATGAAAGATAAATTTAAGAGAAGCATTTTCTTTACCAATCAATCCTAGTAGTACTCGAAACACTGATTTGGGAAAGTCCTATTAGTTTTATTGTTGTTTCTTATTTACAATCAAAAAATGTTTACCATAAAGATTCTAAAGGTCGATGTAGAAACAAGGGGGCCCTGTGAACTACTATTCACCCCACAAGTCCTGAAAATTAAATATAATTAGGTTTTTTAGGGAAAACAAGTTTAATCTCTCAAACAATTCCTCCATTAAGGGAAGAGAGAGTATTCGTTTTGTTAACTTTACCTAGCTGATATATTGCCTCATGCTGCTTATAGTTTCTATACCTGAGAAGCGTAATGAATTTGATTCAGTAGCACCTTTTCATGAAAGGTAAATTCTTGAGAAGTTTGTCCCATACCTATCAATCAATATTAGTTCTCGAAATGCTGATTTGGCAAAGATCTCTTAGTTTATCATTTCTTCTTTTCCACAAGCACAAATTACCATTAAGATTCTAATGGTGAACATGAAAAATTAGGGGGTGCTATGGAACTCTCATCCCAGTGTCACGAAAAAAAAACATTTCTTTTTTGGTTTTGGAAAAACCAAACTCACTATGTTCTTCCTGGAAAGTTAATTGAATCCCTCGAGCAATCCTTCCGTTAATGTAAAAGAATATTAAATCCCTCGTATTATCCTTCTTTTAATGACAAGAGGGCGTTGCTCAGCTGGTAAGCACCCTCCACCTCCAACCTTAAGGTTATATGTTCGAGTCAAGAGCAAGAAAGTGGAGTTCCTAGGGAGGGGTAAAAAAAAAAAAATCCTTCCTTTGGGTAAGAGTTTCGATTTTGTTTATTTTTCACTACTCATCTATTGCCTTTTGCTCTTTATAATTTTAACTAACTTGCATTATTTTTAATAAAGACCAACTACGTTCACGTTCTTCACGGATAGGATGGTTTCTCTAATTTCTGAGTTAAAATTCTCAGACGGCTTTATTTGTGAACACTTCAAGATAGATATTCAATTGATGTTTCTTCTCTGTCTTATTTTGTGAGGGGTCATAAAATGGGAGGTAATTTTTGTGTAGTTTGCCAAGCCTGTAAGCTTGCTATTTTGGCTAACTGAGTTACAGTTCCAGAAATGCCATGTTATTACATTAATTGTGCCAAATTATGCAAGCCAAAAATTGAATACATTGAATGGGGTATCAGTCCCCAGTTTCATTAGCTTTCAGGTTTCCATTGTTGGACTGAAGTGAAAAAGATCCACATAATTACCACGTTCAGAGCAACAACTTCCTTTTAAGAATAATTGCTTTCTATTTTAATGGTTGGGTGAGCTAGGATTAGTATGCACTATCCCATTGGGCTAGACCACAAAGCTAAAGGTATACTTCATCTATGGTTGGGCTGTCAGTCCATTGTTCTTAAAGGAAAACGTAAAAAATTTCTCTCCTTTGTTCAGAAGGGACCCTAAGGGGTCTATCAGTCTAAGATCCTAGCATTGATCTTGCAGCATTACTGTATCCATGTCACAATCGAGCAACGCCAGCAGTAATGCGACTTTGTGGATCATGAGATGGTTCTCACCTATGTTGCTCGGACTCGGGTGCAGGTAGATATGGGTGCGAATCTAGAGGTTGGACTCTTCATCACTTAACTTTTTCGGTGGTATAGATCCGAGTGCAGATACTGGTACTGATACAGTCAATAAATGTATATTGTGACATATAAAGTATTTATTTTGATTAATTAAAGGTGGTATTGAACTAAAGCTAATAATTTTCTTCTTTTTTATCAATACCTGATATTTTATTCATAGGATACCTTGTGAAATAGCATAGCAGTCTCATACTTCGTTTAACCATATATGTAAACCTAGGCCTACAAAATCAAATCAAATACCCAATCAATCTATACTTCCGGTCATAGATGTAGTCAAAGCACCCAAGACAAATTGACCAAATCCGGTGGATCCCACACACACCCATTTCGTGTCGACATGGGTGTGGCAAGGATTTTGAAGATTCTGTGCAACATAGGTTCTCACTTTTTGATTTAGTACTTTTTTCTTGTCTATCATTTGATTACCAGAGCTTCAGCTGGTAACTGGCTTTTATAGAAGTTGATCACGTTTTAACTGCCATATAGCTGAGAGCTATTATTGTAGAATCTTGGTTGGTCTAAGGCACCATCATGGTAGACTGTTGGTCTAAGTTTCAAATGAACTCAAATTGGTGTAACCCAAGTTGGGGCATCAAGGTGGTATAAATTAAAAAAAGAAAAGGAAAAGAAACTCAAGTTGGTGAACTTTAACCCTTTAGAGTTGTTTTACATCTGAAGGAGCTACTTTGAGAGACATTGACATGACTAAGGTCCAGGGTGAAGTTTCTAAAGTATACGACGACTTACAATTACAGCACAGCATCACTATTCAAAGAACATTGATGTGACTAAGGTCCTATGGAGACCCCATGAAGATCTCTATTGTCTCCCTCTTGTTCATGTTGAGATCCAATATATTTAGGAGCTTATGTTGAGCATAATATGAGACAAATAGACAACAGTTTTTGTGCTGTGTACTTAGCTATTTTGGTCTACTGACACATCATAGCCACTGACCTTAATTTCATTGGTGAAAACTGTTAAAAAATGACAAAAGTCCCACATTGGTGGTTAATGAGATGGGTAGACTCCTTATAAGGTTTGGGCAATCCTCCTCCCTTTGAGCTCGCTTTTGGGGTGTGAGTTAGGCCTAAGACCTAATTTAACAAAAACAAATCAGATTATAAGCCCATTCTTTTCTGCAATATAGTTTCAGTCGTGGAGACTAATATCGTCTTGCTTTTGTGAAGATCTAACTCCTGGAGCTGAGGAATAATGTTGATAATCAAGTGTTAGTTTGAATGTTTTAAGACTCATTTTGCTTTGTTTTCATTATCTTGGTTTCACATTAACGCGTCAAACATAGAAACTGATTGCGCTTCAAGTAACCTTAATTTCCTGATAATCATCACTTATATCCTCTCCACAGGTGACGCATAAAGCACCTTTACTGACCGAGGCAAATCTAGGATTTCTAGAACATGGTGTACTTTTAAAGAAAGGAGGAAAAAATGCTTAAAGTGGGAATTAATCGTTAGTCCTTTAGGTGAATAACTTAGCTTCCAACTAAGTGCACCATTAAGCCTTTTTGTAGCATAGGTGCCAACAGATAATATTAGATCAATTTTAGAAAATATATACATAAAGTACCTAGTTTTGTGGAAAGACTATAGGTTCACGTGCACCATAAAATTACATTCCAAATTCACCCCCGTTAATTGATTCATTTTTCACTGTCGTCGGTTCACAGGTTGCTCTAAAAACATTGATCGTCATTCACCGTGCTTTAAGAGAGGTGGACCCCACATTCCATGAGGAACTTATTAACTATGGCCGCAGCAGAAATCGCATGCTTAACATGGCTCATTTCAAAGATGACTCTAGTCCAAATGGTATGCATATTATCAACCTTTTTTCTTGCTTACAGGAAGTTGACCATAGTGATCTCCTTCAATATTGATAATTGCTCTGATGAACTCTGCAGCATGGGATTACTCTGCTTGGGTGCGTTCATATGCCTTGTTCCTTGAGGAGAGGCTGGAATGTTTTCGAGTTCTGAAATATGATGTGGAGACCGATCGGCCGGTGAGAGAAACACTCTTTTTAATCTCTTCCAATAGTTAGTTTAAAGGAGTTCTGTTACATATCTGTGTGTGTGTTTGTGCATGTGTAATATATCGGTTGTTCAGGCCAACTTATGTGCCCCTCTACGAATCGACCGGATACCCTTGTCTAGCCCACAAGTCAGGTTGCTAAGGTTATTCTCCTTCCAAGGTTGGAACAGCTGCACCAAGTGTTTCAGTAGGGATTCAAACTTGGGATCTTCAGTTTGTTACTCCCATACTAGGCCATCCTCTTGGCGACACCTTTGTGTGTGGATATTATTTTGTTTTTGTGCAACAATTGTTATTATATTGCAAGGACCCGTTTACTTTCCTTATCAATCTTCTTATCTTTAGGTGTAACATTAAATGTTGGAATTCCCTTGTGTTTTTTAATGCAGAGAACTAAAGATTTGGACACCCCGGAATTGCTTGAACAGTTACCAGCCTTACAACAACTTCTGTATCGTATTAATGGCTGTCAGGTACGTTTATCTTCATAATCAGTTCAATATAGTTGCTACATTGACAATATGTCCTTTATTCAGATGGCATATGCTTTTGTGCTCAAATTTATGATCATGAAACTTTCATGCAGCCACAAGGGGCATCTGCTCACAATTTTGTGATTCAGTTAGCACTTTCAATGGTAAGTAATCTGTTCTTCAAAGATTTATTAGAAACGATTTGCGTGTTTTATGTTCTCACTGTCTGATAGCTTATTATTATTTTGATAGGTTGCTACAGAAAGCATTAAAATCTACAATGCTATCAGTGATGGTACAGTTAATTTAGTTGACAAGGTTAGGCTTTTCTTTTGGCTATATTATAGATAGTCTTATTTCTCCTCAGTAATAATTAATTAAGGTTAACCGAGTTATTTTCTCAACAGTTCTTTGAGATGCAACGGAATGATGCTCTTAGGTCTCTGGATATATACCGCAGGGCTGGTCAGCAGGTATCATCCTGACACATTATTTGCAACGCCAGCTAATACATCATAACAGTCGAGAGACTGTTCCTTTAGGAATTTAGATACATTCCCTGATGCATCTCCATTTATTTTTAGGCGGAAGCACTTTCAGAGTTTTATGAAATATGTAAAAATATTGACGCGGGACGTGGCCAGAAATTTATTAAAATTGAGCAGGTATGAGATAACTTTTCTGGGAAATATATGCAATCTTTTCTAATTGCCATTGTAAATGTCTCTCTAATCCTTTTTATGTTCTATTTATAATCAAGCCCCCTGCATCATTTTTACAAGCTATGGAGGAGTATGTGAGAGATGCACCACGAGCTTCTACAGTGCGGAAAGATTCGGTAAGAAATCTCCACACACCTTGATAAAACATCAATTATCTCTGGATGGAGCTATTAAATGAATAGATGACATACTTTTATTTATTTAATAATATTTAACAAGCCCCTTCATATGAGAAGCTCTCCAAGCATGCAAAAATACTTTTTTGATAATGGTAGCCATTAGATTTGAATTTGATATGAACAAGTGTGTTTTACTCCAATTAGATTTGAAATTTTAATGCAACTTGTTTCGACATCCAGGAACCCAAAGTTATTTTAGCTATTGAGTACAAAAAGGACCCAGATGTCAAAGATGCTGGCTCTCATTCTCCCCCTCCACCTGAACCTGAAAAGGAACCTGAACCAAAACCGGAACCTGTTAAAACGGAAGCTCCTCCAGCAGAACCTGCTGATCTTTTGGTAATAGTTTCAAGACACATCTCATCTGTAGCCTTATTGTATTTAACTCTATGATTGGATATTTGAAGCCTTATATTTGTTGTCTGTAGTCTATGGACGATCCTTCTCCGGCTGCTGCAGAACTAGATGAGAAGAATTCCTTGGCTTTAGCTATCATACCAGTTGGTAAGTGTTTCAAACTCAATAGCACCAGATACCTAGAAATGTTCGCAACTCACCCAAGCCCCCATCCCCAAGATGGATATTCTGACTCTTGGTGCTATCACAGGCTCTACCTACCCACCAACTTCAACTGGTTCAAATCTTACTAATGGAACTTCAGGCTGGGAACTGGCTCTTGTGGAAGCTCCCAGCTCGAATGAGAGTGCCACTACTGCTAGTAAACTGGTAAATTACACATCTTTCTCGTTTTGCTGCTTTTAATCGGTGCCCATTGATTAGAAAATTGAATGAATCGTGTTGTAAGAGACAAGATTATAATCTCACCATCTCTAATTTGGGGGCTAATGTAATTCCTGCAAGTAGAGGTGGATGCAACCTTCGTACAATAGGTACAATAGGTTCAACTGAACCCAGTATTTTTGACCTAAGTTGCTCAGACTCTTCAATTTTGGTGCCGCACCCATGTCAAGACGACGTGGGTGCGGGATCCGTACCGGATTTGATCAATTGACTTTGGGTACTTTGACCAAAATCGACGGAGAAATCCGGGACAAATACTTATGATTTCTATAATCAAAACAAAGCTAAGGTGAAATTTAAGAAAGTGGAATAACTTGTATGTAGTAATTTCTATGTCATTTCTTTTTCTTTTTTCTCCTTGGGATTTCCTCTTGATCTCGGAATACCTTGTGAGTTTTCCTTATGTCTCATAATTTAGACGCATAACTCTATTTTTAGATATTTGGATTTTTTAAAGCTGAATTCCCGCACCGTATCCGTGCTTGGATCCGTACCCTCGAATCTTAAAATTTAGATCACGAAGGATCCGATCTCTAGATCCACACCCGTATCAGACACCCGCACCTGTTTGAACAACTTAGTTTTGACAAGAAATATACTTGAAAACGAGAAGAACGAAGAATAGGATCCCAGACTTGGTGAAAGGCTGATGTTGCACAGCCATAGCGCCACAAAACTGTGAATTCCAGATATACATGTAACAATTTGATAAATATCAAGGTCTCAACACGATATTTCACAAGTACAATGCTAAGAATTTACAGGTTGAACCTTTCAAGTTTATATCTTGGATCTACATGCAGAAGAGTTAGATGCACCGATGCACATTCTTCTTCACATGTATAAAGAGCCATACTTATACTGACGCTTCCTACTTTTGTAAAAATCTAGGGTGGAGGACTCGACAAACTTACGCTAGATAGTTTGTATGATGATGCAATGAGACAAACCAACCAAAATGTGAGCTATAATCCATGGGAACCTGCACCAGCGGTGGCTCCCATGATGCAGAATGTAGGATATGACCCGTTCTATGTCTCCAACATGGTGGCTGCCCCGACAAATGTGCAGATGGCAGCCATGGCCAACCAGCAACAGGCTTTCATGTTACAACAACAGCAGCAGCAACAACAACACCACATGATGATGATGACTCCCCAACAACAACCGACTGCAAATCCCTTTGCCAACCCTTATGGAGCAGCTGCCAATCCATACGGCCCCGGTATGCCTGTACAAACCGCTTATAATCCTTATACTGGCCTCATTTGAACAAAAATCCAGAGAGAACATGTTGCTATATTCAGCTATTGATTTTGATACTCGGAAGATTAGATATGTATCGATTCACGGGGTAGGAAAAGAATTATTTTGTTAAATATCTAGGTAGCTTTTCTTGGTTCATTCATTATTTGCAAACATCGTGGGGGTGCTCAATAATTCTTGACTCAAATTCTATCAGTTTTCTTTTTTGTAAGATTTGTGATTGTTGGAACACCAGATGTATTGTGAAACAAATTTGTTTAATGATTTGTACATCGTTTGGATATGAAATCTGGTCTTTTTGTATACCCTCCATTTTTATTAGGATTTTTTTAGTAATCTTCCTTTTGTTATTATGCATTTTGCAAGGCAATGCAGTTGTAACATTTGTAAACCAATATTAGAATGGGAAGCATTTTGAGTTGATCCTTTGATATAGTTACGGAATCTTCATGAATTGGATCATTACCTTATTTCGTGGTATTTACGCGAGGTTCCTCTTTAAGGAAATCCTCAAAAAGCTTTCTCACACCCTGTCTCCTTATTTTTCTTGTTGGAAGGTCTATAAACGAGAATTCAAAGCTAAAAGGGTTATTTTTTTAAACAAAAATGCACAAAGCGCCACTTCTTTTGAGATGACCTTTCGATATAGTTAGGGACTCTTCATGAATTAGATCATTCCCTTATTTTGTTGTATTTACATGAGGTTCCTCTTTAAGGAAATCCTCGAAAAAAATTCTCACACCCTGTCTCCTTATTTTCCTTGTTGAAGGACTATAAACGAGAATTCGAAGCCAAAAGGGTCATTTTTTCTAACAAAAATGTACAATGCGCCACTTCTTTTGAGATGACCAAAATGGACAAATGTGGGACACACTACTTACAATAAAAAGTTATAATAATAATAAATTATATGGCCAAACGACAGTTTGACCTAGCTGTTATCTTTTGGGTAAGTCGTTGATGAGCCAATGATTTATATGTTTTGGTCATATCTTCCAAATAGAGTACTCCTTTGTGCATTTTTGTTAGTAAAAATGGCCCTTTTGACTTCGGATTCCTATAAATGATACCCTTTCACGTATCGAAAGGGAATGATCAAACCCTTTTAATTCAAAATTTGAGTAGTAATCGTTACCAAATAATAACTAAAAGTCAAAATTGTCTTTTTTTTTGTAGGGAATATTTTAGCTATTTATCGTATTAATAAAATTAGTAAATATCGATAAAGTAGTCGAGGAATGGAGATATACTCAATCAAGTTACTTTAAAGACCGGTGTTTATCTATATTAGTAAAAAATACATTGGTAAATATCAATAAAATAGCCGGAAAATGGAGATATACTCGATCAAGCTATTCCAAATACTACTGTCACTACAGTGTCATGTTTGGGTGATTGAGAGAGACGAGCTCAACAAGAGGAAAAATATAAAACAATACTCTTTTAAAGCAAACAAATAAATAAAAACTTTATTACACACTTCTCCCCACAAAAAAAAATAAAAAATAAAAAGAGAAAAAAACAAAAAAGAAAGACAACAAAGAGAGTCAATTCAAAGAGACTAAATTGGAATAGGTCCTACTCACCTTCCTTTGATAATAACCTTCTCAAATAAGGCGGTGCAAAATCGAATCAAAATCGATAAATTGAATCGAAAAAAAGTTATTAATTTATTGGTAATGGGTTATTAATTCAGTGGCTTTGATAATAATTTTGATTTTTTAAATTATCGAATTATTAGTTCTTAACGGTTTGAGGAGTTTTTAACGGGTTAATCAATAATTTGATAGTAAATTAAATAATTATATTTGTACCATTTGGATGTAAAGTCTTTGACTTAGAGTTTAATTTTATATATACTTTTATTCTGTCTATCTCAAACTTTTTCTGTTATTCTACAAAGTGACCGTGTTTGTTTTTGAGCAAGATGCAATCTATCAATTCATGTGCATGATTCATTTGGTTTGTCACCTCATTTTAAGTGATTTTCAATTATTTTTTTTATGACAAGGGAAACCGCAGCCACTACCTTTTGGGTGCGCACAGGGTCAAACTCTCGCTCCTATGCAATAGCTCGCAAACCACATAAGAGAGGTAACCCGTAGGCAAGCCCGGTGCGACGAGCTCGACCCAGAAGACAAACCCCTTGCTTTCGCTGGCAAGGGTTTTCTAACTTGAGACCTCCAACATGGAAGTCCCAAGTCCAAACCAATGGGCCACCCAAAAGGGTAATTTTAAAACTAAATGATTTTTAATGATTTTTTGTGTCTAATCTTAACGGTTAAATCAATAACCAAACAGATAATGATAAATAATCGATAAGTCAATATTTTAATGATTCTATAATGATTTAAAATGTTCACAAATAGATACTCGATAAGCAATAAGTCAATATCTTAATGGTTCTATAATGATTTTAGTATGTCTACAAAGTACAAATCGATAGGTGATAACCAATAAATCAAACAGATAAACTTTAAAATTGAACTGAACCAATCGATACTCAATCGTATTTCCAATACACTCAAACATTTCGATGATAATATCACTAGTTGAAATATGTTTTTACTGCTATGATAAAATACTACGATAAAAATATATAATAGCAAAAAATCAACTTTTTGTTTATTATAAAACTTTGACCTTAATTATGGCAATATTGTTATGAAAAATAGTTATTATGAAGAAGTCTGATCATAATAATAATAAGAATATCTATCAATTTCAATTCTTCATATTTTCACACTCATTTTGTTTTTATTTTTATGGACAAACTAAGTAATTGTATAATCATTGATCAAACACCATGGTGAGCTAGTCGCTTGGTTTTGCTCAAACAATATATTATATTAATAAATTTATTAAACATATATAAATATTAAATTTAAAATCTAATTCTTACCACTTAAAATCATTCATTATAAAATTCAAAATGCATTATATGAAAATCCTAGTTTAGTTAATATAAGATATTATTGTATGATTTATAATAATTATTTTCTTTTAAATGAAAAAGAAAATTAAATAGAAATTTAAAAGTTTTAAAGGAGGAAAAATTGCAGATTGAAGAAAGAGAAAATAAAAATGTCATCTTGGTTCTCTCTTCCTATTCCAAATCCTTTCAAATTCGATGACGACGGCGCCGGCGGCGAAAAACCCTCATCACCGGCGGCGAAGGGTTCCGATCCCAATTCATCTGGCATAAAGGAAGATTTCTCAGCCATCTCCCAGACTTTCTCACAGCATCTCCGCGGTGTCGCCGCCTTTCTTGCGCCGACATCGCCAACTCAGTCAGAGCAAGAATCGTCAACTGAAAAATTTAGTGGAATCAAGAGTGATTTAGTGGAGATTGGAGATAGCTTTAAATCGGGTTTATCTTTGTTTTCTTCGAACAAAGCTGTTTCAGAGATTTCCAAGTTGGCTTCCAATTTTTTACAGTTTGGTGATGAGTCAATTGATCGTGAAAATGCTGAAGATGAAGATGGAGATGACGATTATGATGATGATGATGATGATGAAGAGGAAGTTGTGGGTATTACGGATGACGTTGTGGATTTTGTTAGCACAATCTCACAACGGCCTCAGTTGTGGACTGATTTTCCACTCTCTCTACCCAGTGGTAATTCCTAAATATGTTGTTTTAGTTCATCGACTCTGCTAAATGAGTACTATTACTTGGTGATTAGTTTCTTTGAGTGGTGATCACTTGCTGAATGTTCTTTTTTTGAAAAAAAATGGAGTCTTGGTTAGCTTGCATTCACCTCGGCTCTTTAACTAGATATCTACCACCTCCCAGCATAACTCACGGGGTAAATGTAGCTACCAAGGCTTAGGCAGATTGAACATACTTATTTTCTAAGCTGAGATTTGAAACCATTGTCCCCAAGGTTTGCACTCACTTTATTGGCCACTGGGTGACACTCTTGGGTGCTAGTCCACTATAGCCTGTTAAAGGAGCAATTTTTGATGGTAGGGCGAGAGTAGTACTAGGATGTGTGACCCCATGGAATCCTTGTCGCATCCTTCCTTTGGTTATCAAAAAAGAAAGGAGCAATTTTTGACTGTGTTTTTTTAATGACATTGGTTGGGTGATAGCTTGCAACAACTAATCCAGCTAGAAGCCTGCTGGGTAAACATCCCCACTATGACTGGAACAAATGAGCTCACAAAGAGTTAGGATTCTAACAATTGTTATTCCTATGCATCAATCAACCACCTATCCATGTCTTTGGGACAATGTTTTGTGTTTGTTTTGCTAGATATTGGCTGACGTCAATTAACATATGCCTCAATCCACAAATCGTTTGGTGTTGGTTACATGATATTCTATATTAGTTTTGCTCTATTCAGGTCCATTTCATTCCAATACTAAATAAGTGTTCTCTTAATCTCATAGAGATTGATAGATGGCTGATAAAAATCTTTGCCTGCAAAGGATGCAAATTGTTTCCTGTTATGTATAGTTTGGCCATTTGGGTACTTTATTTGGCATATTATAGTGTTTCATTGTCACCAAGAGTTGCAGTATGTGCTATAAACTTTATATTGATATGATAATGATGGTGATTTGATCCTTGATAGTTGAATACTGCTATTAGTTGTTATCTTCCAATATTATGTTCATTTACGCTTGGTGTGTGTGTTTCAAGAATGTATTATAGTAACTAGTAAGGTATTCATTTTTTTCAAGCCTATGGTTTTGTTCATGATTTAAGAGGAAAAGTGTGGTATGGTTTTTAGTCACTTCCTGATGTTGCTGTCACCTTATTTTATAGAATGGTTTGTATACAACAACAACTACTACACCTCAGTCCCAAACAAGATGGCATACAGATGATTTGCATATATACTTCAAATAACATGCATGCAACCAAATTTGGCATTACATATACTCACATACACTTAGTAAGGGAAATTATACATTAACTAAGGCATACAAAAATGATTAAGCTTTCCTGTGGGATTCCATTCCCATAGTGGGAGTGTGGGACTCCCACCTGCTCACTCCCTCCCCTAGATAAACAAGAAAAGGAAAAATGGAAATTATCATTTAAGCTATCCCGTGGGATTCCAGGCCCATAGTTGCACTGCCATCTGCTCGCTCCCTCCCCGAGATAAACAAGAAAAGGAAAAATGGATATTATCATTTTTTTGGGCTAATAACCAACCCAAATTATTAGATGCTGAACTTTTGATGATAACCCTCTTCCATCCAGACCCCATCAATGGTATATAATTCAAATCATGAATATGAATTTGAGCAAAGGTTGTTTCACAGTAAATTCAGCATATGAAGATCTCAACA